CAAACCAAAACAAACAAAACAAAACAAAAAAAAAGAGTGTCACAATTTGGTTGCCAGAAGATGGGAGGAGGGGGTAAAAGGAGATTTTATTCATTATTTAGTTTTATTTAGCTATTTATTTGTGGAATTTTTGAGACAAGGGCTTGCTCTGTAGCCCCAACAGTACCCAAACTCCATTTCTTCCTGCATCAACCTTCTAAGTGCTGGGGTTTAAAGCCTGCGCCACCGTGTGCAGCTGGGAGTTAATCTTTAGTAGGTAGCTTTCAGTTTAGGAGGATTAAAAGGCTTTAGAGACAGCTAGTGGTGGTGATCACAAACCAATGTGAAGCATCTAATTCCACCAAACTGTGCTGTGATGAGTGGTTAAATAGGCTGGGTATGGTTGCACACACTTGTAATCTCCAGCACTGGGGAGGTTGAGGCAGGAGGATTCAGATCTTGAGGCCAGTCTGTATTATACAGCAAATACTCTGTCTTTTAAAAAGTTGTTCAGCCAGTCTGGGTGGTGCCATCTTTAGACCTAGCACTCAGGAGGCAGAGACAGGCAGATCTCTGTGAGTTTGAAGCCAGCCTAGGCTACAACCCAGGATAGCCAAGGTTATAGAGAAAGACTCTGCCTCAAAAGAAAAAAAAAAAGCATTGAATGGATACATTTTATGTTATATATATTTTCCCATAATAAAAAAAGTTTTTTAATGTTTCGAGCACAATGATAAATAAATATAAATAGTACCCCTTCCATCCAACTCGAGGTACAGTCTTTTACCATTGACTTGGTGACAGAAAATTACAGATTATTGAAAAAAGAAAAAGGGAGCTGAAAAGATGGCTCAGCAGTTAAGAGCATTGGCTGTTCTTCCAGAGGTCCTGAGTTCAGTTCCCAGCACCCACATTGCAGCTCACAACTGTCTGAAACTTCAGTTCCAGGGGACCTAACACCCTCACACAGACATGCATGCAGGCAAAACACCAGTGCACATAAAATAAAAATGAATAAATAATTTTTCAAAAGTTGCTAGTAGTGTACAACCCCCTCCCCAGAAGAAACCACTAATAAAGCATTCCTTGGAGGAGCTGGAGAGATGGTCCAGGGTGCACGAGGACTTGAATTCAGATCCCCAAAATTCACACAAGAAGCCAAGCAAGCCAGTGCACACTCATAATCCCAGCACTGGTAGACAGAGACAGAACCATCCCTGTGGTGCACTGACCTGTTAGTCTAGCTCGATCACTAAGCCCCAGAGTCCTTGTCTAAGAAGAAGAAGGAGGAGGGGGAGGAGGAGGAGGAGGAAGAGGAGGAGGAGGAGGAGAAGAAGAAGAAGGAAAGAAAAAGAAAACTTGCAGAGCGATTTATCCCAGGAATGCAAAGGTGGTTTACTAATTTATGCAGAAAAGAACATTTGATACAATCCAATATCCTTTCACAATTAAAAAAAAAAGTTAGAAAATTATAAATAGAAGTGAATTCTTAGCAGACGATAAAGGGCGAATATGGTTGGCCCCCAGCTCACATCATAGTTGATGGTAGAAGACACAGAGCCTTTTCCCTAAGATGGAGAACTGGAGGGGAGGCACCTGCCCTCACTGCGGCTATCGGACAATGTCCTGAAAGCTACAGCCCCACAAACTGGGCCAGGAAGAAAAACACCTACCTAAATCAGAATGGAAGACGTAAAACGGTCTCTAGTCACAGGGGATGTGGTCCTACATACAGAAAATTCCCAATTCATACATGAAAACAATCCTAGGCAAATTCAGCCACGTATGAGATCAGCATACAAATACACTAGCAAGGAATAATCCAAACGGGGAATTAAGAAACAAATCCATTTAGAAAAGCGTTTGGAGCATCAGAGGACTGGACACCAGAATAGTCTTGTAGTCCTTTGAAGTGGAAACATCTTGTTATTAACAGTGCTCGGTGAGGCACACGCATCGGTGCTTCTGATTTTCCATGCATATTAGTGCATCGCATATTAAAATTAAGTAGAGCAAATAGATTTGATGAGGGTAGTGGACTTCACGGGACATGTATTAGAAGCTGAGTCAGATCCATGAACCATTCAGAGTGGTCTGGGCCGCAGCCATCCTGCCTCCCTTCATTTCTCGGGAGTCACAGGAAGCTGGGAAGCAAAATCCCAGACCCCTTAGAGGAAACTAAGCCTGAGTCAGCCTTCCTAGGAGATTAGGCCCAGGGAACTGCTCGCTGAGGAGGCTGTTTCCACTTAAAAAGTTGGTAATGTTTTTTTTTTGTGTGTGTGTTTTCTCTTAATCAAAAAAGGAACTAAAAAAAAAAAAAAAAAAAAAATAAGAAAAGGGAACTAAAAATGTTTTAACTTATTTGTGTGTGTGTGTGTGTGTGTGTGTGTGTGTGTGTAAGAGACTAGGGGCCAGCAAGATGAAGTGTCTGCCAAGTATTGCCACACTTCTTAGACCTCAGTGTGCCACAGAATAAGGGCTGGAAGGTTGGTTCCATCCCAGAGACAGCTCTTCTCACCCCTCCCCTCCCCCACTGCTAACAGCTCAGGAGTGTGCTGAGATCGGTGGATGAAAATACTCCAGATAGAGAGGTCGGCCTGCAGGGAGCTGGTTTTACTAACGAGAAGGAGCTCTGGAAGGAGAGCTGGGGGCTGGTGCTCTGGATGGCGCTGAGGCACCACAGCAGTGTGGCCAGAAGCCCAGGCCTTCCTTCAGGAGGCCTGCGTTCTGGTCTGGAGGGAGAGGAGCAGGGCTTGGGCTGAGAGACAGCGCTTCTTTTAACTTTAAAGGTCAGCCTATTATAGACCCTGTAAAGGATTCAGAAGTGCTTTAAAAGAGGGGGAAATGACATCAAGGGCCAAAGAGGAACACATTTGAAAAGATGCACCGGACACTTGTGTACTGTCTGAAACTCTCCTACTCGGCCAAAGCTGACTGAAGGCTGGGATGGAGCAGAGTTGTGTGCACTTTGCTTAGCATGCTTGAGGCCTGGGCGTGGGGAGGTCATTCATAAGAAGTTGGGGTAGGAGACAGATCAGGCCAGGGAAGGACAAATGGCACTCCTACTTTCTCTTCCCTCAGCCAAGACTCACCAGGGACACCAGATTCCAAACCCCAGACGAAGATGAGGAATGGTTTTGGGAGTGGAGCAAATCCAATGACTCCTGAAGAACAGACAGCCTGCCATTTGAGTGAAATGGAGGGCGGGCTCTGGGTGCCATTAAGATTTTTCCCTTCAATGTAATGAAACTGGAAATATTTATAAAGTGCCTACTGTGTGCTGGGTGTTGTAAGTGGTCAGACTGAGTGGCAGGGGCACAGACTGGGAAGGGAGCCCTACGAGAAGATTTTCACGGGTCTAAAATCCAGGGCAAAATCCAAGCCCTGCTGCCCCAGGCGAGTCCAGACAAAGCCGCTGAAGGAGGAGGAGCTCAGATTAGCAACGCCCCCTCACCTGGCAACCTCAGGTAACGGCCCCTGGAGGCCGACACAGGTCTGCAAACACGTGTCCATTCCTCCTGCAGTCTCTCTCATCCAGGACCGACTTTATAAGCGTGAGTACCAGAGCAAGGGAGGTGAAGAACTGTTCTCCCATCCAAAGTCCACAGCTCAGCCAGACAGAGAAACTCCAGGCTGACTGGGAACTTCACCCAGAAACCCTCGCCGTCCGTGTAACAGCCCGTCTCAGAAGAGATGCACATCGCTTCCAATCTCTCCGCAAGGTAAAAAAAGATGCACCAACCAAAACGCAAAGCAGTGTGAGAGCAATTCTCCAGCCAGATGGGGGAACTCGTATCTTTGGCCTGAAGGGAGCCAAAGTCTCTGGAAAGACCGTCTGTATTGAAGTCCTCCTACCTCAACACAAGTGAGTTACGGGGGCACCCCTAAGTCCAGGGAATTAGAGATAGCTCGCAACGCAAAAGTCTGTACAAATCCACAGCCTTTACTCGGTGAACTGGCCACCGGCTTCTCAGCATTGAATTTGAACCAGCCAATGGTATCCCAATGGCTGAAACAGGAAGCCAGATAAACAGCGTGTTATCAAGGGGGGATCCAGCACTTCCCTTAAGCCGGCGCCAGCTGCGCTCTCGGACGGTCCTAACAAAGTCCCATTGACTCACCAGCTGATTTTCCTGCGTTCAGCCCTGGGGGACAAGGAACCCTCTTTGCTGAGCCACTCACCACTCAGGTCCGCCCCAGTTCCTTCCTCTCCTTTATGCCATCTGCAGACTTGGCCGGCTCTCTAACCTATGGCCAGTTTGGCTAGACTCTGAAGATTAAAAGGGACCACAAAAATCCAGGCACCGCACGCACCCGCACCCTCAGGTGAGCGTCTCCCTCACATTTTCCCAGCTTCTCTTTCCTCCTCCCTCCTTTCTCTCCCGGGATGCTCTCGAGGCTCCCAGACGTCCTGGGCAGGCGCCAGAAGAAACAGCCTTGAAGACGGCGCTTCTCAGCGTATCCTGGTGCAGGGGGATGGTAGGAGTGGAGGGGCAGTGCATTTTCTGGAACAGCCCAGCCGGGTCACCTGCCCCAACTCTTCCTTTAGTGCCTCCTGGGATGTTTGAGGAGTTAACTAGCTGCTTGGGGTGGGGGTGGGGGTGTCGTCTGACTATGTGTGCCAGTCTCTCTCTCTCTCTCTCTCTCTCTCTCTCTCTCTCTCTCTCTCTCCCTCCCCCCCGTGTGTGTGTGTGTGTGTGTGATAATACAACGTTTAGTGTCTTTGATTGCAGGAACTCAGCGCACTTTAAATGACAGGTATTTCTTAGGAAGAGAAGCCAAGGCTCAGAGGGTTGGGGTTAGGTCATCGCATCGTCAACCCCAGGACAGACGCAAGGTCCAGCAGGGGCGTCTAGACACTCCCGCGAAGCCGCTAGCATCCCGGTTGTTATCCCGCGCTTCTCCTGCGCCAGCCCGCAGCCTCTCTCCGGCACCAGACTCCCCTCCCTCGGGCTGACTGCAGCCGGGCTAAGAGCAGAGCTCAGCCCCTCCACCGCGCCCGCCCGGTACGGGCCACTCACCGGAGCGCCTCTGGTCCCCGGTTCTGGGTCCGCGCCGCCGCCGCCGCCGCCGCGCCGAGTCGCGCATCGCCCGAGCAGCGCAGTGCCGGGCGTCCTCTGCTCGCGATCAGAAAGTTTCCCGGGGCTTCCCGGGGCCCGGGCGGCTCCTCGCGCGAGTCTCAGCCGGCGCTGCGCGCTCCGGCCTCCAGCCTCTCACTAGGGCGGCCGCGGGCTCCCGCTCCACGACGAGAAGGAGGCGGCATCCTGAACAAAGTGCCGTCCCCCGGGCCCGGCGGCCGGGGGCGGAGCCTAGTGACCCGCTGCCCTAGGCACACGCCGGCTGCCTCCGCGGAGGGCCGAGCTGGGAGTGCCCGCGGCTGGAGGTGGGCGGGAGGGGAGGCCCGGCTGCGGATCGCCCTCGCTTTCCTCCCCTGGACTGTGCCAGCTTAACCCGCAGAGGGGCGGAGGCATGGGTCCCTTCCAGACTTTGTCATTGGAAAGCTATTCCCGTAACCCTTTCCTGCGTTAGCCTTCCCGCCCCGCCTCCCCAGCCGGCCGGCCGCAGAAAGGCGGCTGCTGCGTGGCGGGGGCTACGCCGGGAGTTGTCAGGGCAGGAAGCCTTAGCACAATTGAGCCTTTCCTTTACCCAAGGACCCGCCACCACTACTTCCAGGAGGGGGGTCCTACTTCCCAAGTCCTCTAAGCTACCTCAGAGAAGTAGTGCGGATGGATCAGTGAGAGTCCATTTCCTTCCACTTTGGAACCCTGCAAGGGGCATGATATCTGAGCTGCGACCCTTGGGTGAGAGGTGAGGAGATGCCCCGGAACTATCTAGCAAAAAGGAGACGTTTCAGTTAACCGGCTTTCCCCCTCACCTTTCTGATCCTGGAGCGGCTCACCCTTCTTCCAGACAAGTGGGAGGAGGAGGAGGAGGAAGAGGAAAAGGGGAAATGACAAGACTTTACCCACAACCTCGTGCAACTGTCTGCGGGGCTGGGGTGTGACTGAGTTTAAGACGCTTGCCTCCTCCTGAGCTGGGAGCTTCCAGACTCTGCGGCAAGGACACAGGCGGAAATCAGGTGGACCGTGCTCTTGCTCAGGCCCTCAGTCCCGGAGCTGTGTGTGAGAGGGAACACCTGCCATCAGGGACTCTGCATGTGAGGATCTTCACCTTCTCCCAGGTCCAGCCAACAGTCAGGAAGACTGATTTATTTTCAAGGTGCTGGGGTTGGAGATTGGGAGGTTGGAGAGAAAGCAAAACGCTGACTAACTAGGAGGTCTTGGACTAGTCAGGATTAAAACCCCAGATTCCTGCCCGAGCCCACACCCAGAGAGGTAGGGATGAGGAGAAGTAGACAGTGGCCTTCCCAGATGGTCAGGGGAATGAATTTAATATAATTTTTGTCCACGAAAGGAGTGCATTGTCCTTTGGAGGGACGAGAGGGCTGCAGAAGAATGGCGGAGATGAGCCCCTTGCTCTGTGTGTACTGGCTAAAGGCATGGGCTTTGAAGGTGCACATTTAGGGTCTGCTCTCACTGGATCTTTAACAAGTTCTTTCACCTCTGGCTACCTCAGTTTCTTCTTCTGTAAAAAGAGACAACAGTAGTCCCTGTCTTGTACTGTTGCCAAAAAGATTAAAAAGGAGGTCATACAGGTAACATGTTTGTGATAGCACACACTAGTACATGGTAGCTGATAGTTCATCCTCAGTGAAACAGTTTTAAGAGACTTAAATAAACATTTAACTTAACACTCACCAATTGGAATCCCATCTTGCTTCTCAGAGCACTCCCAGCCTGCCTAGGGGTGCCTTGCCTTAAGAAGCACAGTCACTGGGCATGGGTGGCACATGCCTGTAATCCCAGCACTCAGAAGGCTAAGGCAAAGGGGTCACGAGTTTGAAGCCAGTGTGGGCTACATAGGGAGACTCTGTCCTTTCTTGGCGCTCACTGAGTAGGGCTGCCTACGTTTCTTGACCCTGAAGTCCCAAGAACAAAAGACTGGGATGGGCGTGCAAATGGGCATCCGAGACTCAACTGCCCGCTGACCTCAGACTGGACGTGGGCCCATGCAGTCCCACTGGTAATGGCAGCCTGATGCCACTCCTCAGGTGTTTCCCAGAGTGGAAAGGAAGGGCAGTGCTATACTTTATAAGGGTTTAGTCTTGTGCTTAGGTCAATATTTCCCTCCTGTGGCCTATCATACAAGCTCCCTCCCACTCTGCCCTACATGCCCCGGTCGCTTGAGTTTGTAGGTAAACCCAGGAACCTGTGCACAGGTTGTGGAAGGAAAGCCTGGGCCCAGTCTCAGTGGAGTGACAGGCAGAGTGTCTGGAGGCTACCAAGAAGGGTCATAGGTCAGAGCAGCAGAGAGCAGAAGCCAGGAGCAACCAGGAGCCAGTGCGGGCAGAGTCCTGTTTGGAGATGAAGCAGGGTTCCCACCCCTAAGTGGCCTCTGCTAAATGCCAACCTTGGGAGTGGTTTTTGTCTGAACACAGTGACGATTCAGTTGCTCTGAATCAAACAAATGGATTTTCCTGAAATATGAAAATCAGTGAGAGGGAAAGACAAGGGCTGCTGACTGGGTAGGATGGCAGGAACCTGAAGGATGCCTAGAGCAGATTAGTTGGTGAGTGGTAGGAGAGTGAATTAGGCTCACAGTAGGGGACCCTAGGCATGATCACAGTCCCCAGCCTCACAGAGAAGGTGGCTTCAGGACCTGCTGACCCCACTGAGGCAGGTCCCCGCTCTGTCTTTTGCTGCTTAGCACCAATTCTGCTCCGGGGCAAATTGTTGACAAAAGGATTAAAGTCAATGTGACAAATAGGTTTAAAAAAAAAAAATCAGCCCAAGGAGCTTGTGGTCATCTCATTGAACCTCAGACCTGGCCTGAGATGAGAGCATTAGAAGCCCCAGAAAGCATAGCAAATGTTTGTTTGTTTGTTTGATTGATTGATTGATTGATTTTCTGCCACAGCCTGATTGAATTGTGTGGGTTTGGGGTGGGGTGGGGTGATGTGAGGGTGGGGTGGATGTTTTCTTGCTACCTTGAACTCTGTAGACCAATGTTCATTTGTCCCACCACGGGGGTCACCTGATGTGGGACTTTGGAGATCTGAATAGAATCATAGCCCCTGCGTTCCCTGTGACCCATAACGGGACAGTCTTGACTCTCCTTGCTTCTTTCCGGGCTCTGAGAGCAGTTTGTAAGGAACTTGGCAGGGATATGCCGACAGCGCATGGCTTCATTTTCTTCAGTATGTAACAAACACGATTAGCGCTCCTGAGGTGGAGTCCAGGGACCTTCTGACTTCCTCCTCCGAAGCCAGTGGAAAAACACTGGGCTTGGCTGCAGATGACCTGATTCCATCCACGCCCGGCTGATGCCCCTCACTGAAGTACATCACCTCAGTTTGCTCATCACTTAAAAGAGGGTATCGTCACCCAGGGGACATAAATGCATGCTACCAAGGCTGTGGCTTCAGTGAGATCACAGAAGGGGCTTTGGCTTAGACAGCGCCCCTCAAACATAAGCAAAAGTGCAGTGACCACACGGTAAGCACCAGGCCACACCCCTCCCCACAACCCCTCCCCCCACCCCACTGGTGGTGAGCTCGGTGCTGCAAAGTATACTTTTGAGAGATAGAAGCCTGTCCACACATAACCGAGTCCTCTCTAGCTTGGTTCATCAGCCAGCAAGAGGCTTCCTATGAGGCTGCAAGGCTTTGCCCCTGACCCGTCCTTGGCCACCCTGAGCTCACAGTACTGGCCGCGAGTCCAGCTTTCAGTGTTGATTGCTAGAGTGAATGAGGGCTCAGGAGGGAACAATCTGTGGGGAAAAGCTGGCATAGCGGTGAACGTTTTATGAGAGCCAGCGAGTCACTGCCTTATCGGGAAGATGAGCTTCTCCCTCCCTGTTACCAGGAAGTAAGATGTGAGGAGAGCCAGTGTTTTTCCAAAGATGGCCTTTGAAGTGGAGAGTTTCTTTAAGGGCCAGGAAAGCAGGAATGGGGCTGGTGGAGTGAAACTGGGCCCCTTTAAGAAGCATGGCTCTGGCAGGCTTTGCAGTCCTGGAGATAATGACAGTCCACACTTACATGCATTTGCTGGAGGCCTGTAGCTTTTGCTTTGTTTTGTTTCTCAAGACAGGATTTCACTGTGCATCCCTGGTTGTCCTGGAACTCTGTAGCCCAGGCTGGCCTGGAACTCACAGAGATCTGCCTGCCTCTGCCTCCCGACTGCAGGAATTAAAGGCGTGCGCTGCCACCACCACCCTGTGCCTTTAGCTATTCCAAACACTCAACCTATAACAAGCCTATATAATAAACATCAGGCTTTTCTTTTTGCCTTTTATCAAAAGTCTTAAAGTTTCATGGTTTTTTTTTTAATGTGTTTGTGTGTGCATGTTTAATGTGTATGTGTGTTCAGTGTGTAGGAGATACATGTACCAGAGAACAGCCCTAGGTATCATTCTCAGGAATACTGTCCATGTCTTTTGAGGGTCTTTCATTGGGCTGGAGTTGACTATTAGGACGGATTGTCTGGCCAGGGATCCACCTTCCTCCACCTCCCCAGTGCTGGGACTACAAGAGCACGCCCTCACATTTGGTTCAGAGGATTGAACTGGGGTCCCTTTGTTGATGGAATCACCTCCCACACACACCCTAAAGTTTTTTTTTTTTTTTTTTTTTAAAAAAAAGACGATCAGGAGCTGGGGAGGTGGTTCAGCAGTTAAGAGAACTAGCTGCTTTTCCAGAGGGTCCAGATTCGATTCCCAGCACCCACCCATAGGCTCACAAACCAGCAGCTACCCCACAACTCACAATAGTCTGTAACTCAGTTCCAGGGAATCCAACACCCTCTTCCAGCCTCTACCCGCACCAAGTACGGAAGTGGTACACAGATGTATACACAGACAAAACACCCATACAACCTTTAAAAGGGGGGGGGGGAGAGACGGTATTCTCTATATTGCCTAGGCTGGCTTTAAACTCCTTGGCTCAAGTGATCCTCCTGCCTCAGCTCATTGAGTAGTAACAACTATGGATGCATGGCACCAGGCCTGGCCATAAATATCCTTTTTAAAAACATCTTATTATGTATTCATTTATTGTGTATGATCTTGCCCATGGGTGTGCACTCGTGTACAACATGTGCAGAAGCCAGAGGACAACTTGTGGGGATTGATTCTCACCCTCCATCGTGTGGATCCTGGAGACCGAATTCAGGTCTTCAGGTTTGTAGGCAAGTGCCTTTATAGGCAGAGCTA